ATGAATCAAATTATACCCTTACAAAATAATAATTAGGCTCTAGCTGAAGACTGGCTTGCAATTCTGAGTACTATTTGCTTATTTATTCAATTCTTAAAATATGAGTAAAAACCAAAAGAACTGCGAATGCTGTATATCAGAACTAAAAACAGAAGTTGCTGGAAAAGCTGGCAGCATCTGTGAAGAGAAATCAGAGTTAATATTTTAGGTCTGGTGACCTTTCCTCAGAACTGATTGTAGCTGGGAAAATGTCAGTTTATATGCAGACGATAGAATAGGGGAAGGGGGCAAGAAGTAAACGATGGATGGGGATAGAGCCCAAAGAGAGAGAAGAACAGTTGGAGAGACAAGGAGCTAATGATCTGGCTAGGAGACTGAATAGTTGTTATTAGAGACTGTTAGTGGCTAACAATAGGTAATGTATAATGACAGGCTATGTGATAACAAGGCCTGAGGTGTGGGGAGGGGGCTAGGACATGGGAGAGTTCAGGCCCTAAAATTATTGAACTCGATATTGAGTCCGGAGGGCTGTAGGGTCCCCAAGTGGAAAATGCGGTGTTGTTCTTTCAGCTTACACTGAGCTTCACTGGAACACTACAGCAAGCCTGCGACAGAGATGTTGGCCAGGGAACAGGGTGGTGTGTTAAAGTGGCAGACAAGTGGAAGCTCAGGGTCTTTTTTGTGAGCAGAACATCGTTGTTCTGCAAAGCTGTCATCTAGTCTCTGCATCGTTTTCCTAAAGTAGCGGAGACCACATTGTGAGCAGCGACTGCAGTTAAGTAGGATACTGGGCAGGGAGGTAAGTGAACAGGTGTTATCCTTCGGCAGTTGCATGGCAAGTTGCCGTGGGTGTGTGAGGTGGGTGATGGGAGTGAAGGAAGAGTAGACCAGGGTGTCTCCCAGAGGGAACTATCCCTACAGAAGGTGCACAAGGGAGGGGACAGGAACATGTGTCTGCTGGTGACATCTCTCCAGAGGTGGTGGAAATGCTGGATGATGATCTTTTTTACCTCTTTACTTTCCTCCTCTTTACCATGGAGGTGCAGTCCCTTTACACCTCCATCCACCACCAGGATTGTGTCAGGGCTCTCCGCTTCTTCTTAGATCAAAGGCCTGAACTGTCCCCACCCAACACCATCCTCTCTCACTTGGCTGAGCTCATCCTCACCCTGAACAACATCTCTTTTAACTCCTCTCATTTTCTTCAGGTTAGAGAGGTGGCCATGGGTACGTGCATGGGCACCAGTTATGCCTGTCTCTTCATGAGGTACGTGGAACATTCCTTGTTCCAGTCCTACTCAGATCCCCATCCACAACTCTTTCTCTGATACATCAATGATATCTTCAGTGTTGCTTCCATCTCTCATCCTGAATTGGAAAAGTTCATTGATTTCGCTTCCAATTTCCACCTCGCTCTCACTTTCACCTGGCCTATCTCTGACTCCTCCCTTCCCTTCCTTGACATCTCTGTTTCCATATCTCAGGGTAGACTGGCCACTCCCACCTACTCCCACAGCTGTCTTGACTCTACATCCTTGCACCCTCTTTCTTGTTCCATTCTCCCAGTTCCTCTGTCTCCATTGCATATGTTCAAATGAGGCTAACTTCGACAAGGGAGCCTCCAAAATGTCCACCTTCTTCCTCAACTGAGGATTCCCCAGCACCATGGTGACAGGGCCCTCAGACAGGCCCGAACCATTTCCCATGCTTTCACCCTTAGCCCCTCTTTTCCCTCCCGCAATAGCAATAGGATTCCCCCGTCCTTACCTACCATCCCACTAACATCCACATCCAGAAGATCGCTAGCCACCATTTCTGCCACCTTCAACGATACGCCACCACCAGACCCATATTCCTCTCCCCTTCCTTATCCGACTTATGAAGGGACTGTTCCCTCCGGGATACACCCTGGTTCACTCTTCATTCACTCCCAACACACCTCCCACATCCCCATGGCACCTTCCCCTGCAACTGCCGAAAGTGTAACACCTGCCCATTTACCTCCCTCTTCAGTATCCAAGGGACCAAACTTACCTTCCAGGTGAAACAGCACTTTACCTTCACTTCCCACATCTAGTCTATTGCATTCGCTGCTCACAATGTGGTCTCCTCTACAGTGGGGAAACAAAGTGTAGACTGGGTGACCGCTTTGTGGAACATTTACATTCTGCTCGCAAAAAAGACCCTGAGCTACCTGTTGCCTGCCACTTTAACACACCACCCTGTTCCCTGGCCAACATCTCTGTCTCAGGCTTGCTGCAGTGTTCCAGCAAAGCTCAGCGCAAGCTGGAAGAACAACACGTTATTTTCCGCTTGGGGACCCTTCAGCCCTCTGGACTTAATATCAAATTCAATAATTTTAGGGCCTAAACTCTCCTATGTCCTAACCCTCTACCCCACACACCAGGCCTTGTTATCACATAGCCTGCCATTACACACTACCTATTGTTAGCCACTAACAGTCTCCATTAACAACTAATCACTCTCCTGGCCAGATAATTATCAACTCCTTTGTCTGTCCAACAGTTTTTCTGTCTCTTTGGGCTCTATTCCCACCGTTCGTTTACTCCTTACTCCCTCCCCCATCCTATCTGCTGCATATAAGCCAACATTTTCCTAGCTACAATCAGTTCTGAGGAAGGGTCACCAGACTTGAAATGTTAATTCTGATTTCTCTTCACAGATGCTGCCTGACCTTGAAATCTGAGTGTTCCTGACTAGGTTAGCATTTATTGCCCATCCCTAAATGTCCCAGAGAGGAGGTGAGCTGCCTTCTCAAACCACTGTGGTTTATTGATTCATGGATGTACCCAGCACGCTGTTCCAGATGCAATTTTGACACAGCAACTGTGAAGAAAGGGTGGTATAGTTTGAAGTCAGGATTGTGTGTGACCAGCAGGGGAACTTACAGGTGGTGGCATTTGTACATACTTACTGTCCTTGTCCTTCTGGTTTGCAGATGTCAGCATTTCACAAGTGCTGTTGCATCCTGGAGATGTGACATATTGCAGGAAGGATAGTAAGGTTCTTGAGAAGGTACAGAGCATATTTACCAAGGTAATATAAAGGATGACAGAGTTCAGTTATGTTGGGAGTTTGGAGAATCTTAAACTTCCTGATTTAGGTGCCTGAGTCATCAAGTGAATAATAGTATGAGATAAATACTTCAGGAGTTACTACAATCCTGCACTTAAGGTGTCTTTGTATTCCTTGCATTGTTTTTCCACCCCAAATGCATTATCTCACACTTCTCTGGATTGGAAATCAATTAATTTAGTCCAGGAATTCCTGGAAACCTAAGAGTGACATTCAAAATTATTAGGGGTTTTGTTGAGTAAATGGGACAAATATTTACACTAGCATTTTTCCTGAAGTTAAAGACTTTAAATAATTAAATAAAGAGCTAAAAGGGAAATTACGAGGAATTTCTTTTCATGGAGTGTTAAGAATGCACTATTTGAGAGAATGTTGGAATTAGATTCCATAAAAACCTTCCAAAAGCAACTGGACAGTGTACTTGAGAAACATATGGGACTAAATGTGGAGAGTTCTTGCTAAGAGACAGACTGAGAGTGATATGTCAAATGGTCACCTTCAGTGCTGTAAGATTCTGTGGGTGAATTTTCCCAACCCTTTGAAGCCAGGCTGGAAGGCCAGAGGGCTAGTGATATGGTGCAGGAACGAATCAGATTGGGAGCCCAAAATTCCACTATAATATATTGTCAGAGCAGGAACAATGCAGTATGGCTGCTCAGAACTGAAGCAATTAATTGACTAAGTGGGGACCACCTCTTGCCCTGCTCTCCCACAAGCATTTTGCCCACAGTGAACAGCCCACTGCCATATGAGGAAATTGTCCAGTAATTTTCTCTAAGGCCTCCTTCTCAATGAGCATTCCATGACCTGGCCTAGGCAAGGCAATATTGGCTGAATGACCACTCTTATCCCACCTGAGGACAATTTTCCTTGAGAATGGAACCTCAATCCTGGCTACTTTTAGTAGTAACAGTGTGAAGGCTATGATATCTATTCTTTGACTGGTCTGACTGCTTTTGGGGTGAGCAACAGTCCTCAATTAGACAGTGGCCCTAGTAGGGACAATAAAATGGCTGTTGTATGAAAAATTAAATATCATGGACACAACGTCTACTGGAGCAGGGTGAACTCCTGCTTTTGTCTCTGGCACTGGTACGTTACACCCAATGCAAAATTCAAACCTATTTGATCGTGTTTATTATAATTCATCATTGGATAACACTGCACCAAATATGCAATGCCTGACTTAGTGACTGTTTTCACAATTTCCTAGCATTTTATCAAAAGAATAAGATTACAAGAATGGAAGGGTGATTCCATAATCACGTGCTGAAAGCCAACAGCTAAGCATGCAAAATGTCTATGTCAAAGAATTGGACCTATTGTTGTACACTCAGTCCTTGTTATCCACTGATTTGCTCCCCTTGGATCTGTGTATTCGAGTTCAGCCACAAAACCCCTATTTTTTCCATTGCCTTGTCCTGTCTGCTACGATAAACATAGTGCTGTCTTCTGCTATACAAAGGAATGGTATCTGCAGTTTTTGTTATCCACTGGGTGGCCAAACCTCTAACCTTCACAGATCATGAAGTTGATTGTAATTCTATCTCTGCCCAGTATTACCTTTGTGCAGGTTCTACGCATTGGGAAAGCAGAATCACCCCTCATACCCTGGAACTTGTGTCCATTTTAAGAAAGGTCACAGAAATTGTGAATGCAGGATTGTAACTCCTTAAGTATTAGTCTGTTATACTATGATTCACTTGATGATTCAGACACCTAAATCAGAATCATAATAACATTTCAAGGGGATTTTCTCAGTATCAATCATAAGAACCAGAGAAAATTCCATAGCTATAGCTGTACATCCTTTGAAGTATCTTAAAATGATTCAAAATAGACAAAACATTCATAGAAAATGCCATTTTATTGAAAATGAAATTCAAATTTAAATCAATGTTACAATCATGACAATATGTCAGACAAGGAATTTTGCAATTTAGTGACACAAAAATCATTATCTTAGCATTATTCCCTTTTAAGACGTAGCAAAGTGATTCATAATCAATGATGGCAATGGCCTGAAACACAATGCGTTTGTACAGTATATTCAGTGCAAAGCAATTATTGAGTAACAGCAATAAAAAGCTTGTATTTATACAAAAAATAAAAACATAAATCACAGAATAAAAAGGCAGAAGTGTAAGTATACCCATGAAATTAAAACTGCAGAATGTTGTCTGTTCTACATACACAAAAAATGAATAATTAAAATGTATGTTTTTTCCACGGAGCTCAACTATCTATGTAGTAATTACGTTAGAAAGCTAGGATTTCCATTTCATGACTACAAATAAAGAGTACAAAATATGAACTGTATTGTAAACTGCTGAAATTATGATAAAAGAAGTCTTTTTGTGTTTGTAAAGAGAATTCAGGATTGAAGGTAATGTGTATCAAATTAGGGATGGATGAGACTTCCCTAGATCTTGTTCAATGTTTATTGGTGAAAAAATTACTGATCCCTTTCATTGTACGTCATAAATTCCTGTAACAGGATAAAGTGATGTTTTCCACTACTTCAATTTTGAGAGATTACTTTCATAATGCTAAACAGTCATGTGCACATTTTAACATGACAGTGACTAGAAGAAAATACAAACATTTTCTCTTAGCAGTAAACAGACAAAGCCTATATGCCACTAGTATTGGCATGTTACATCAGCAGAATGACTGTCAGCTAAAAAAAACTCAAAAGTTTCATGTATTCCTTTTGACAAAATTGCATTCATCAATTATTTACATAAGCTATGTTCAGCAAAAATTTTGACTTACAGCTAGAATCAGTGCTTCTGCTTCCTTAGCAAAAATCCTAGTACCCAAGGTCTGAAGGAAAACAGATTCTCGTGAACAACACAAAATTAGAGATGGCTTTATAATTCTGATTTTCACTGCTAAGAGTTTTTGATTTGCATCTGACAGAATTCACACCTGCACAATATTCAGTGAAATAATTCAGTGAAATTGGAGAAAGGAAAATGGAGAAATAACAACTCCGATATTCAGCGCTATCCCAAGGATCTCTGCAGAATCACATCTCATCATTGAAGGAATCAATTTATTATTGATGAACAATCTGGGCCATATTTAAGTTTAACATTTCAAACATAAACATGCAATGTTGGTTGTCATTACAGAGTGCAGTTGGAGTGATTGGAAACTAAATTCCTTTTTTTGCTAGGATATGACACCTCAGATTATGTACTACCATTACATTAAGATATCTCAATGTACTGTAAAGTCTATTGAAGAGCATCCCCATTAACACCAGATTTATTAGTAAAACGTCTAAGGCATCATGTAACTGCACTATAAATGATAGTTTGAGTTATCAGTCAGTGCCATAGAAAACTAAGTTTATTGGAAACCCCAAAGGATGTTTACATCTGCAGTAGAAAACCTGTTCCTAATGGGAAAGCGATGAATACACTTTGTTTGATATCCAAAATGTATTGTGATTATTAAAACCTTTGCCATAGGGAATTAACTTGGTGGATGCTAGATGTGATGCGAAGTGCTTTTGACTGTACAAAATCTTAAATTTGGTTCCAAAATTGCTGCCTGCAGCCCTACAAATATCACATCTTAACAAAATGTACTTTTTTAAAAAAATCACTTTATATAAAAAATCATATTTAAATCTTTGAAAGCCCAACCTTAGCAATAAAAATTACATTAAACAAATAAAGTACCTCTTATTAAATAGGTAACAGCTTGCACCGGCAGTAAGACTTGTCTAGCTCGACCTTGAGTTGTGTAACCTGACACCTGCTTTCTCAAGTTCTGTTGAAAACTCCTGAACTCATTACCTGTACAGATATATAAATGTAGACTGGTGGTTTGCTTCAAGCTACCACTTGCAATAAATAATATCAATAAAGTTGTCCAGCTTTAATGTAAATTGGCCATATTGAACCTTGGGTCCACAGAAGCATGCTTCACACAAGAGAAATTTGCAGTAAAAAAAAGTACTATATCTAAATATTGAAAAATATTTGACTTTATTTAATACATAAAATAGTAAAGTCTAAGTTTTAGACTAGAACCAATCAAATGAAATTTAAAGAAACATTAGGATACGTAGATATTGCATTCATGTATCTCTCATGAATTTTGTGCTTTTAAATTATAGTTAGATACACATTTCCAAGTGTAATCTTCCCAAGTATTGTATTTATCAGATTTCAAGACTAACATCTCAAGTATCTTGGTTACTTTGATACATGGCAGATTCTTTACGAATGTCACATCTCCATTTGCCTTAATAAAGACTGAACCAATACAAGGTCTCACAAGACTGAGAGTTGGACATGATATTAAAGAAAGAAAGAACTTCAATTCCTTTAGTACCTGCTTAGAGTGGATCTCAAGGAAGTAATTATGAAGCGTAAACACTACTTAGCTCTGTCATTTTATTTGTACTTCAAGACAAGCTGATTTTGCATAATGTTACTTCTCTAATTTTTTTAAAAGACAGATACAACTGCAGGTTTCCTAGCAGACGGATAAATGCCAACTAAATTTCAGTAAAATGATGAATCAACTGAATCCCCACTAGCTCCTGCTCACGTGAATCTAGTTAATGCTGCTATGACTGAAAACTACATTAACTACTCAGCGGTAGCCACAGAATTTGCTTCTTTAAAGATAATGGAGTATCAAATCACATGAAGTACTTGTTGCAGCATTTTCTTTGACAACAGCATTTTTTTGATTAAGCACATCTGCTTGAAACATGGAACATTTTCTTCCTTTGTTGATATCACTGGGTCAGCTATATATTTTCCCATATAATTAAAGTAGCCCATTTGAGTAGATCACAACTATATTAATATCTGCCACCTTTTTCAGAGATTTAGACAGCTAAAAGTACTGAACTGTAATAATGCTGCAGTAGACATTACTATCTTAACGTCGCTATATCACTATGAAGTCATTCAATTATTGAGTAAACAATTTTCAATAGAAACATTAATGACGTTGAAGTTGAGTGCGATTGCTCCAAGCCAGATGACATTTACCTCGTTTTAAACTGGAAAGCAATTTTGTTTGAAAGATACACAAAAGCATTTAAAGAATGCAAAAACAGACAGTCCTTTTGAAATCTGCAGTAAACATTCAATTACCAGGCATTCTTGGATAAACGGCACTTCGAAAACAATTTATTTCCATTAACACTTAAAGGTGATATGTCAAGAAATCTATAAAGAAAAATTCTGCCCCCCTGCACAGTTACAACTGAGTGCATACATGTACATTTCTGATACAACTATTCTAACGGTCAACTATGTTCCCTCATAGACAATTTTTTAAAAACGGTAAAGTGGATAACCATTTATTGGAGGACTTTTCATCTTCTTAAGCTTAGAGTCCTTGTTTTCTTCTTGTTTTTAGCCACTTTTCTTGCTGTTTTCAATATTGTTTGAATAATTGTTTATAAATTACTGCAATTTGTACACTTTCAGTTCTGGGAAAGCACATCTTTCTAAAACAAAATGGTTTTGCTGAGTAGCTCGAAGTTCTTCATATATTTGGACAAGATAAATTCACTCAAGAACTTATAAAAAAAAGCAATGTGATGTGCATATCTTGCACAGTACAGAAACGTCCTCAAATACTGCATTAGTTCTTTCACTCAATAGTCTTATTATGATAAGATGTTCTTCCAGTTAAAAACTGCATAATAGGCACTATTTAAATGATGACTTGTTATGTATTCAGTTGTTATGTATTCATATGTATTCAGAGTCAATAGGGTCTCCAGACAGACTCATCAATTCTCCCAGTGGAAGTCAACACAGTGGGAGAATTACTATGGCTAGCATCAGCATCGACACCATCATTTTGATTGGGCAGGTTGGGATTAAGGAGTGTACTACCAGTTGATGCACTGGTGCATGGTGGCAGCATTCTGGAGGGTGAGCGTTCTCCCCCTGCCACCATGGAGAACTGATACGATCCAGAAGAGGTGCCATAGTAGAGATAAGGTGCACTGCTGGTCTGGAAGGGTCCACTTTGGTTTGGGGATGAGCCAGGATAGGGCGGTGGTAGGTAGGTGTGATAATGTGTAGCTGCAGACATACCCAAAGACATCCCAGTTGTAACTGGAGTTGGTGTATAGGTGAAGGCAGCTGGGTAGTGCATTCGAGGATTTGAGAAACGGCTCTCTGTGAGGGATGAAAGACCAAATTGCCGTGGGTCGGAGAAGGGACCAAGATCTGTAGCACCTGGAAAAGAGAAAAATCATATTATGTCTCGCAAATCATTCAAGGAAACATTCACATTCTGTATTAGATATTTTATGGATATATTCTAATTCATATCTAAACATTATGACTTAATCAATGCGACTAATCACAATCAAATTTAACACCGTCACTTTCATCTTTCTTAAATTACTGTGGTGTTGCCTTTCTGTGTGCTGTGTTACCTCAGAATAATGCACAACATATTTTACCTAATCATGGGGTTTACTGTGGTCATGAAATCACTTAATGAGAAATTAAAAATTTGAAATGTTCATATTTATGATTGGAAACATGAGGTGGCATCTCACATGCCAGCCAGTGAGCTGGCAAGAACCCCACATTGCCTGGTTTCAGGAATGCCCACAACATCTTGCATCAATCAAGCATTAACAGGCCAACAGCAAACCTTCCCTGGGGATCAAGGACCCCCAAGGGCAAATGTCTCACCTGCCAGGTGCTCAAAAGCTAGTAGCTCTTACGTACTGTGCAGCAACACTGGTGAGGTAGTGGCTGTTACCATTAATGCATCTTCCTGAGAACTTAGTTGGGCACACTTTCATCCAAACCACCGCCTTCCCAGTGTTCGGTGTCTCTAAGGGGCAACAACCACCTCCTCCACCCTTCCCATAACCCCCCAAGGCCCGCAAAAGCAAATACGGCAAGGTTAACTTGTCATGGTGAGCTACCTACTTGCCACTGTGTCAATACAATCCACCACCACTGTCCCTCCCAATTACATAGCCCTGGCACCGCACACCCCACTACCAAACTCTTCACGGGGAAGGCACATAATTCCAGCGTATGTTACTTTCTGCAAATCAACTGCATTACCCTCAGGTAACAATGATTGCAGCAATCTTACAAATGCTTCAGTGTAGACATTGTTATGTGGGAATAAAATGCATTGGTTGTTAGCACATCTACCATAGCACCTTGGGTGATAAATGAAAAGGACCCAAGATGGAGTAAAATCTCTCCTACAATCTCCATGATATATATTAAAAAAACATTAGTAAGATGTTAAGCAGAAAAGGATTGATATTCAAAGCAGAAATTTTAGATTGGTATCCAGATTGAGATTATATGGTGACCAAACTTCACCCTCACAATTTATGGTATTATTCAAACTTGAGATTAACACATAGATTCATAGAATCATACTGCAGAAAGAGGCCATTTGGCCCATCAAAATTGCATTGACCCTCTGTGAATTATGCTTGTTGCACTGTATGTTTGTATATTTAAATTCTTATACACGTGTTTATTGCAGATGTTATGATTCCATGTTGGAAACAGATTGTACCTTTGGTAAAAGTATACTAGCATCAACAAATTGGACAGATGCCATAGCATTTTAGCCGTTGGTCAGAGTAGACCTAGAGTCAGCCCATGACTTTATTGGGACTACTATAATTCTACAGTGACCTGAGGTCCCAGTATTGCTTGACAGTTTTGATTTTCTATTGATTGTCACTTTGTCCTGCCAATTTCCTAAAAGTAGTTCAAATGATGTGCTTTTTGGTTTATCTTTCTTTTCAAATATAAATTGGACCTGCAGGCTGGGGGTGGAGGAGGTGGGGGAGATGTCTGTGTGAAATGTTGCACTTCACCCTGCAAACATGTATCACATCGGATTGGATAAGCAGTGGACCTGTACCTTTCCTCTCACCCTACTCGATCTCTGTCAGGGATTTGTCACTACATTTTTGGTCCCAGTAGCTCCATTGCTGATGATATCTTTTAAATGATTTAGATTTGCCAATTACGGTTGGACATATTCAGGGAGATGTTATCATATGATGTTCCAGACTATTGTGATTGGTCCTTCAAGGTATCAATTATCATTCTAAAACCTCCTCAGGCATTTTTTCAAAATATGTTCAGGTTTTGATTACTCTAAATCTGATCACTATGTATTTCTCACTGTTCTCCCTCACAGGCAGCAAGAGTGAAAGAAAATACTGGCTCCTCAATCACTTCTGGAATTAATGTTGATTTTTTTTAAACAAAAGAGGATGCACAAATAAGAACTAGTAGGAACTGTGAATTATTAGAAGAGGCCATCAACAGCAACAGAAAGCTGAGAGCTACTTAACAGTCACACAAATCGCTGGCAAATTTAGAACATTGGCAATTAATGAGACTCAGATTCTTGAGCAGTATTAAGAGACCCAAAGGGAGTATGTTTGATTGAATTCCAAGAGCATTCATGAATGTTCTTTATGTAATACTGAAGCCTTTTGTAAAAACAAAAGAAGTTTTATTTTTATAGAAAAAAAACACTAGTTTCCTCTCCTTTATATTGTCTCCTGGCAAAAATTAATCCAATGTGCTGACCTAACCTTTCTATTTTCATTCTTACATCTATGTTACGTTTACTGTTGAGATTTATATCGTTGTTCTTTAAAATTATATGAAGTTTTCAGAAATCACAAGCTGTTGATTCTGAATCTATAAAATAATACACAAAATTTCAAAGAAAAACAATGTTGTTCTATTTATGAAGCATTCTTTGAGGGGCCATAGTGAGTAGTGTGATACAATGAGCAATATACAGAGAGCCCAATGTGTGCATATTCAGTTGGAGTGGGAGCTATAAATAACATGTGTTACGTATCAACATATCAGACATTTTCTAATGAGAGCCTACTGTACCTTAGCTGTAGGCTAACAATGTAAGTACAAAGCTTGTTGTGTATGTGGTCCCCACAGTTCTAGTTAAACAGAAGTTAGGTAAACATCTTAGAACTATTTTCAACCATATTTTTCCTGGAGGGAGTACAGTTGTTTTTATCCTGTAATTAATATATATGATTTAAAACACATTCCTGAACCAACTTTAAAGGAAGTCTGCACATAAAACTGAATGGAATGCATTATTACTTGTTAGTTTGTGCCTAAACAACAGCAGATATCTTAGGTAAGGAATGCAATCCTTTCTACAGTATGTCTGGTATGCCCACTCTCAGCATTCTTTTACTTAGGGGGTATAGGGTGTGGCCAGTCATGCTTAGACACTTCCCTCCCACATCCTGTCTCTGTAAGCCAACAACTGCCAGAAGTAGATGCCAGCAACTGTAACTCATGTACAATTAAAAAAAAAGTCATTCAAACCATGAAATTATGTTTAATGTCATATAAAGTTTGGTAGTGACCACTGTGATTTTTGGTGGCTTTTGGAGGGATGGGAACTTTTAACATGCAAAGCTGATTCTGATGGTTATACGATTCTAGTGTGATGATGAAAGACCTGAAACGTTAACTCTTATTTCTCTTCACAGATGCTGCCAGGCCTGCTGAGCTTTTTGAGCAACTTCTGTTTGTGTTCCTGATTTACAGCATCCGCAGTCTTTCAGTTTTTATCACAAAATGGACATTTGGTATGCACCCAGTACATGCCCAGTATTCTCAAGCTGACATTGTGCCTTGCACTGGGCACCGTTTGGGGCTTGCCAGGGGTTATGTGTACCATTCTGAAGGTCTTCAGTTTCCATAGTGCTGGCTTCAGAAATGTTACTGATTAAAATATCTAGCTCTTAGCGTTTAGCAACCAAACATACTATTACCTCAGCCTATCGCTTGCATCTCACAATCCTAGACACACCAAAACTACCAGCATTGCAAATCGTTTTGGCCTGTTTCCATCACAAGTCTTTACAGCTAATAGGGCAATTTCCTCTTTACCCAAGGTACAAAGACATAAACTATAGGAATAGTCGTTCCCTTTTAAAGTCTGAGACAAAGACTTACAGCTGTAAGTATTTGTCATTGTTTACATGTACTATTCTACAAGAGGATATGATTTAGCCTGTTCTTTGTCCAATTATCTTGTTCTACAGTTTTATTATGCAGTTGCTGTTGTGTGTTTAGAAGGTGCTTCATTTTGCTATGGCATCCTATTTCATTTTGTTTTACAAATTACAATAATTAATCATTTCCTTTGATGTAACCCTTTCTTTCAATCCCCTTTTTCTGAATAGACTGATAAATGCAGGGCTGCAGGTTCATGGGGGTGGGGAGAAGGGACAATAGTACCAGGGAACCTTGTTCCATATGTTCAGTCTTTACATGTAAACTGACAGTGGCCCTAATTTCACAGCCTTAGCTTGGCAGGAATTGAACTGTACCAAATGCATGAAACAACAACCATCCCTTTGTGCCTCCTGCTGCCACTGTTCCTAACCATCAGTGGAACTGGCTGCCTGAAAGGCCGCCTGGTTGAGTTAGGAGCCTGCTTTTAACATGCAAAGCTGATTCTACTGGTTATACAACTCCAACGTGATGATGAAATACAACCTTGTGAGATTGACACTAAACGTAGTGCAGCCTAAACATGAGTCTTTAAAGGGATCACTGCATGCTGTTGGTGAAATAAATAATTATAGGTTTTGTGAATGAGTCCAGCAGGAGCATGATGAATTCTCCCTGGATGTATGAATATTTTTTGCATAACCACTGGAAGTCCATCATATGTTTTTCCTAAATGTAGAACTTCTTGCTTAACTAATGGAGGAGCAGCTGAATACTTACCCTGTCCAATCATTCCCTTGACTGACAAACTACCAGCCATCAAAACCAGATCAGCCTTGCTGATGACATTGGTCTAGCATCACAATCATACCACCTACTGCTCAGAGATACTCCTTAAAACCTAAATTTTTGACCAAACTTTTGGTTACCTGTCCTAATATCCTTATTTAGCTTGGTATAGAATCGTAATGGATAATATTTCCAAGGAGTGCTTTGAGATACTTTACTGTTTTCAAGATGTTAAATAGGTGCAAATCATTGCTAATGAGATGATACGATCTGAAAGGCAGCTAAGTTCACATATCAGAAACTGAATTTGAGATCTTCCTGGTCTTTTTGGCTCAATTTCAACCCACAGGGTTATACTTAACATCATCTACGTTCCCATGATATTTCTCTTCTATGAAATACATAATACAGGTAAACGGGCCACACTACAGAAACCATAATAAA